GTCACTCCGGGGGAATTCTTGGTTGGGTTCGGAGCCCCTCGTCTCAAATCTCCTGGGGCGTGGCGCGGTCTGTAGCGTGACTTTCTCGGGCCCAAGAGAGGCCCAAAGCGGGCCCAAGAGAGGCCCCAAGAAGCCCCCAAGACGGTCCGAGGAGGCCCCGAGTCGCCGAACAATCGCTCCAAGAGGCCCAAGACGGCTCCCAGATGGCCCAAGAGGCCTCCAAGACGCCCAGCGAGGCCTCCAAGAGGCCCCCCAAGTGGGCCCCAAGAGGCCAAAATCACTGATTTGCCTCCGGTTTTTGAAAGATGTTGGCGTTCTCGCCTTCTCGGCTTCACGACGCTCCCAGACGGCCCTAGAGGCCACCAAGACCGCCCCACGACGGCACAAGAGGCCTCCAAGAGGTTCGAGGGTCCCAAGACAGCCCAAGAGGCCTCCAAGAGGCCCAAAAAGGACCCAAGAGGCCCCCCAAACAGCACCCAAGAGGCGTCCAAACTGTCTCCAAGAGGCCCCCGAGAAACCTCCCACGAGACCCCAACGAACATCCAATATGCTTCACACCCATAACCCAGGCAGTGGTGCAGGACACGAGGCATACAGACGATATGCCTCGTGTCCTACACCACTGGAGGGACACAGGCGACATGCCTCAAGTGGTACTTGGTCGGTACCACTTGAAACATACAGGCGACATGCCTCAAGTGGCACATAACTGGTACCACCTCATGCATGCAGACCGCATTCCTCAAGTCGTACTTGTCCTCTATCTCAGGCAAAGAGACGACATGCCTCCAGTGGTACTTGGTCCGTGCCACTCATAGCAAGCAGAAGTGCACACGTCATGCCTCCAATCGTACTTATTCGGTTCCACTGGAAGCCTACTAACGACACGTCTGCGGTGGTACGTATCATGTGCAACTTCGGCAGGGCCAAGATTTGCCTCAAGTGGTACGGGATGCCGAAAACGGCCCAAGAAGACGCAAGAACGCGTCAAAGGGGGCCGAACTAGAAAACACGAACCAACCATCCAAGCTTTCCGCCCGAACAGGCGCCCAGGAGACACCAAGAGCCGCCCAGGACGCCTCACGGCCCCCAAGAGGCCCTCAGAAGGCCCACAAGAGACCCCAACAGGAACCAACAAACAATTACCCTGGCGACATACCCAACCCTTGCGCAATGCGGGGCATAAGTACATCAGGATTGCTACAACGGGGGTGATGACGTAACATGGACGCGTGTGAGCTTGCGAGCAGCAATCGGGAGGCTCGCAGGCCCCCGATCAAGATATAAGGGCTACGGAATAACAAATCACCCCCGTTGGCTGTGCCATGCGACCGTTGCACACAACGTATCCCACAACAACTATTGAGAGCCCCCGCGGCATACGTGTAGGCGCAACGTTCTGACCATCGCCTGGCAGATGGCCTGGTTCACAAATCACCCCGTTGGCTGTGCCATGCGCCCGTTGCGCCTAACGTGTCCCACAGCAGCTCTCTAGAACACCCCAGGGACGGCGAGGTCTCGCTCAGGTCCCCGCGGTGCCTCACTCCGCTAGACCCACCAGCAGCCCTCGAAAGTGGCGACCGTGTCGCAGATCGCAGCCCCCCCCCCCCAGGGACGGCGAGGTCTCGCTCAGGTCCCCGCGGTGCCTCACTCCGCTGGGCCCAACAGCAGCCCTCGAACGTGGCGACCGTGTCGCAGATCGCAGCCCCCCCAGGGACGGCGAGGTCTCGCTCAGGTCCCCGCGGTGCCTCACTCCGCTGGACCAGACGAGCAGCCATCGAAAGTGGCGACCGTGGCGCAGATCGCAGCCCCCCCCCCCCGGGACCCCGCGGTGAGTCACTCCGCTGGACCCAACAGCGGCCCTCGAAAGTGGCGACAGTGTCGCAGATCGCAGCCCCCCAGGGACGGCGAGGTCTCGCTCAGGCCCCCGCGGTGCCCCACTCCGCTGGACCCACCAATAGCCCTCGAAAGTGGCGATCTCGCTCAGGCCCCCGCGGTGCCCCACTCCGCTGGACCCACCAATAGCCCTCCCCACTCCGCTGGACCCACCAATAGCCCTCGAAAGTGGCGATCGTGTCGCAGATCGCAGCCCCTCAGGGCCTGCGAGGTCTCGCTCAGGCCCCCGCGGTGCCCCACTCCGCTGGACCATCGAGCAGCCCTGGAAAGTGGCGACAGTGTCGCAGATGGCAGCCCCCCCAGGGACGGCGACGTCTCGCTCAGGTCCCCGCGGTGCCTCACTCCGCTGGACCCACCAGCAGCCCTCGAAAGTGGCGACCGTGTCGCAGATCACAGCCTCCCAAGGACGGCGAGGTCTCGCTCAGGCCCCCGCGGTGCCTCACTCCGCTGGACCCACCAGCAGCCCTCGAAAGTGGCGACCGTGTCGCAGATCGCAGCCCCTCAGGGCCTGCGAGGTCTCGCTCAGGTCCCCGCGGTACCTCACTCCGCTGGACCCAACAGCAGCCCTCGAAAATGGCGACCGTGTCGCAGATCGCAGCCCCCCAGGGTCGGCGAGGTCTCCCTCAGGCCCCCGCGGTGCCTCACTCCGCTGGACCCAGCAGCAGCCCTCGAAAGCGGCAACTGTGTCGCAGATCGCAGCCCCCCAGGGACGGCGAGGTCTCGCTCAAGTCCCCACGGTGCCTCACTCCGCTGGACCCAACAGCAACCCTCGAAAGTGGCGACCGTGTCGCAGATCGCAGCCCCCCAGGGCCTGCGAGGTCTCGCTCAGGTCCCCGCGGTGCCTCACCCCGCTGGACCCACCAGCAGCCCTCGAACGTGGCGACCGTGTCGCAGATGGCAGCCCCCCAGGGACGGCGAGGTCTCGCTCAGGCCCCCGCGGTGCCTCACTCCGCTGGACCCACCAGCAGCCCTCGAAAGTGGCGACCGTGTCGCAGATCGCAGCACCCCCCCAGGGACGGCGAGGTCTCGCTCAGGTCCCCGCGGTGCATCACTCCGCTGGACCCAACAACAGCCCTCGAAAGTGGCGACAGTGTCACAGGTCGCAGCCCCTTGGCAAGATGCACACACAAGAAGTACCGCAGCCAGGATGCACACACACACACACACACGAGGTGCGCATACAACAAGAGGAGACAAGAGAAAGCGAGAGGCGAGAGGCGGGAGGAGGAGGACTGGAGACCGCAGTGCTCTCTTCAAAACGAATACACATCCAAGGAGGGCTTGGGAAAACCAAGAGGCATCCAATATGCCTCCAGCATGTCCCCGAGAAGCCCCCCACGCGATCTCAACGAACACCCGACGGGCATCATGCCCACAGCACGGGCACGACGGTGGCATGGGCGGAATGCCATCCTATACGTATATGTATGTATGTATTATGTATGTATGTATGTATATATATATATATATCGATAAAAGTATGTACAGATATATCGATTCGCCGATCGATCGGCGGTTGGCCCCAAGACAGCGAGACCGCAAGGCCCTCGGCAGGGGTGGACTAAGTCAGGCCCACATCGGGGACCAGTTGTATGTTAGATCTGTTGGGTGCCGATGTGCGTCCCCCCTGAGCCTACACCCTGCGAAATGCTTAAGAAATCATGGGTTAAGAAATTCATAGTCTCAGAACTTGAAATAAAAGCCCAGAATTTCTATTAAAATCTTGGGATTTACACTGAAACGTTAAGAATAATCGAGACTCTGGCCGAAAACTTGGGTTTTCTTAAGCATCGCCTGGAGTGTAATGTTGCCCTGAACCATCCAAGGCCGCGCTAACGGCGATGTTGGTCAACGGCGATGTTGGAAATATGGTTTCTGTGGCACCGAGCTCGCGCAGAACAAGTTGGGAAATCACGAACCACACTGTCCTTAAATTTCACATGTGCGAACGTGGCGAGCGAAAGCGACGCAGCGAATCGTGGGAAAACACGAACCACGATGTCCTACGATTGGTTTGGCCACGAACCGCTCCCACCTACAGTGCCGAAATCCTACCTTGCCGTTACCTACATTGTCGTTAGCGCGCCTCCGGTTTGGCCCTGAACCACGAGACCTCTGGAAACACGGTCACCTGGCGGCCTGAACAGGTCGTCACGGCCAGTGGTTCGCCGTCCTGGGCCCCTGGGGGACGGCTTCCGGGATCGCGGAACATCAGAACCGACTCGGTCGGAGGCAACCCCCACCCAGAAGGTCTCCTTGGGAACGACAGTAAGCAGGATCTAACGAGATTGAACAGCGGGAGGTTGGTGCAGGAAAGGTTTCCGACAGCGGACGACCTAACCACGATGCTGAATTTGACCGACGGGGAGTTGCAGCCAAGACTCAGTGTGAAAAACTGCCCAAAAGATAAACACACATCCTGAAAACAAAACAACGAGCAGCCAGACGTATGGGAAAACGGCTCCTAAAAAAACGAAGTCGGGACCCCAAGGTCTCCTGAAGAACTGGCCTGTCATTCCGAGTCCTCTTTTGATTGCCCAACGGGGAGGGCCCTGAGGGGCCGAACATGTGGAAAGACCTCAGCACCCCTTCTTCATCTGTCTCTCAGGACCCACCGAAACCTCTTCCAGATCGAACCCTGGACCCCTCCCAGGGGCCCTCCAGTCCAGTGTCCATCGACGAGAAACTCGAGAGGCGCCCGACGACGACGACGACGACGACGACGACGAAGACGACGACGACGACGACGCAACGACGCAACGACGCAACGACGACGACGACGACGACGTCCCGTCGTGGTCGCCGCTGGCGGAACCGAGCCTCGCGGGGCAGCGACGCCGACGACGACGTCGGTGCCGCCAGCATCTGACTACCTACCAGACCACCCCAACCCAACCCGAAGACCCGAATTTCGGGTTGGGGGGGGTACGGGTTCCATATGTGTTTTCTCGATGTTCCCCGACCCCCCCCAACTGGAAATGGAGGGCAAATCGAGACCTTCGGGTTGGGTTGGGGTGGTTTGGTGGGTGGTGAGCATCGCCGCAGGCAGCGCCGAAGGACGCCGACCGTTCGATCCTCCGCGGCGGGCCTGAGCCGCTCCACCCTCAGCCCCTGCGGCGGCAGGCACAGCTGGCCGGGCGCTGCCATGGGGCGGGCGGGCCACCGCTGGGGGGGGGGGGCGGCCCGCCGCACCCTCGAGGATCGACTCCGAGGGCGGAGGCCGTCGAGGAGGAGGAGGAGGAGGAGGAGGAGGAGGAGGAGGAGGACGACGACCTCGGCCGCCCCACGGGGCTTCCGTAGGAGCCTCCGCGGGCGCCCGGCGGCCCCCGGGGAGGGCCCCCTCGGGGGGCACCGTCGCAGCCCCGCAGAGCTGGAGGTGGCCGAGAGGCCTGAGCCCGGATCCGGGACGGGCCCCCCTCAGACCTGTCCACAACAGGACGGAGGGGCCCGAAAACACGGCCCTCGGATACTTACCGAAGAAGGCAGGCAAGCTTCTCAAGCCCAGAGCCTCGAGCCTCGCCCCTTCCCCCAAAAGCAGCGCTTGGGGCAACCAGAGGCTGCCGACATACCGCTGCTCCCCAGACCTCTCCCGGGCCGCGCTCTGCCACGAACTGCGGGGCGAAGCCAGCGGTGGCGACGAGGGCCTCCCAGGAGGCCCAAACAAGGCGAAAACGAGAGAAGGGTAGCTTTCCCTCCGCCGAGTGCTGGGCCACCTCAGACCCCCCGCCGGCTCCAACCCGGAGCTTCCGCACGCACGTGGGAGCCCCCCGAGACGAGACCCCTCGTCGGTGGCGCAGCGGAACGGACTGCGCCCGTACAGGGCTGCGCCCACACACGGGGGGTGACTAGCTGGAAGAGGGGCGGCGCCGCGCGGACCCAAAGCACTGGCCAGGTCGTCCGAGAACCGCCTCGGCCCTCGAGCAACGATCCTCGCGATTCCGGCGGCGTCAGCGGGCCACCTCATCGATCCTGGCCGAGCCCGTCTTGGCCCAGGATCGGAGCGTGCGGCGCGAGTGGGAGCGGCAGGTTCTTCGGGCAACGGGGCCTGGACCCGGGGCCCCCCCCCCCCCCGAGAGCGGCGCCTCATCCCCGAGTCGTGCCTTGACAGTGCCGGGGCTCGGGGAGGGCCCCCGGGGGCCGAAGACGGCGGCAGACCTCGAGACCCGTTCTCCTCGGGCCCCGCTGCTCCATGGCGATGTAGGCGCCCTCCGGGCCTGGCCAGAGGGCGGCGCGGACACCGACCCGGGGCCCAGGAGACAGGAGAGCCCCGGCCAGGATCGGCGAGGTGGCCAGGGGGCGCCCCCCGATCGCGAGGAGCTCGAGGCCCCTCTCTGTGGCAGGGGCGGTCGGCACCGCATCGACAACTCGGATCGGATCGGGACAGGCATCGAAGCGGGCCGCACCAGCGCGGAGTCGAAATCGGATCCGATCGGCCGCGCCGGGGTGCTCAACGGCGCCATGCAAGCATCGTGGCGCACCGGAGTGTCGGGATACATCAGACGCGAATCGGGCCGGGCCGGCCGAGAGCGATCTCGAATCGGACCGCTTGGATCGGCGCAGGCCCTGTGCGGTGGCCCGCACGCCCGGCACTGCCCGGGCTGGCGGCAGACGTGCAGCCGGGCGATGCTGCGGCCGGCCCTGCCGACCAGCAGCACCAGGGCGCCAGACCTGTCCAGCCCGACGACCAGCAGGCTGGCGGGCTTCGCCGCGGCGCCCACCCCCGCGACATCGGGCCTCTTCGGGCGACGACGACGACGACGACGACGACGACGACGACGACGACGACGACGACGACGACGACGACGACGACGACGACGGCGACGGCGACGACGACGACGACGACGACGACGACGGCGGGGCAACGACGACAAAAGCAAACACAAAGACAAAGACAACGGTATGGAATCGAACTCTATACACCGACGCTTCTTCCGGCCCTGCATTGGAATTTGCACTGAAGAGCGGATTCTGGTGTATACGGGACCCTGGTGTATACATTTTTCGCTGTTTCCCCCGGGACATCGGGGAAAAAAACATACACCACAGCACCCCAGCGGCGCCCTCGACCCTCAAGAAGTCCTGGGATTGAACAGCAGCCCGCCACTGGCAATGTATGTGTTCCGGTGTCCGAAAAAAAACAAAGACAAAGACGTCGTCGTCGTCGTCGTCGTCGTCGTCGTCGTCGTCGTCGCAGCCAGTGGCCCGACGACGTCGTCGGGCCGCTGGCGTGCTCGGCGCTGGAGGCGCCTGGGCGCACCTGGAGAGGCTCCCCGTCGCCACGGCTCCGGCCCGGCGCCGAGCAGCTGCCCATGGACGCCACGCGAGAGGGGCCCACGGGACCCTACGGGTAAGTCGGGCCTGTCCCCCTACAGGGGGATTTTGGACGAAACATAAGACATACAAAACAAAATGCTCCAACAGATGCCCAAACATACTCCAAAAATAGCCCCCACGGGACCCTACGGTAGAGGGAAACAATTGCTGAACACTCCCCTCCTCCCGAAACTCATTGGGGGGAGGGGGAGGCGTTGACAGATGAATGTGGCATGAGTGTTCGCTGATTTGTTCCGAGGCCTGTATGGTTAAGTCGGGCCTGTCCCCCATACAAGGGGATTTGGGGCGAAAAACAAAACATACGCAAAAGATGCTCCAAAAGATGTCCCCAACTATTCAAAAAAACAGCCCCCAGACTATCTTTTGACTACTTGTGCATATTCCCACCCAGGACACCACGAGGAAGGGGCCCATGGGACCCTATGGAGGAGACCCCTGTGCTGGCCCACGAGAGGCGCACGTATCCGTGCCCGCGCCCTGGCGGTCTGGACTCCAGGGCGCGATCCCGCGGGCACGCGATCGCACGCATCCTTCCGCGCGGGGCACCCGCGACAAACCTCGCGGCCCGGGGGCCCGCTGCCGCGAGGCCGTGGATGCCGGCCTGCTCTTCGCCCCCGAGTGGGGCGAGGATCGGGGCCTGCTGCACGCGGGGCGGGGGGGGGAGAGTCCTCGGGAAGAAGGTCTCCCGGATGCGGCGCGAGGGGAGGGGGGGGGGCCTCCGGGAAGGCCCCGGCCGCGCGGAGGGCCGCCCCTCCCGCGCCGACCACCACCCTCCACCCCCGTGTTGGACGGAGATCCGCCCAAAGAGCAGACCCCCCCCAGAGATTTGCCGTGCCGCGTCCAGCCGTGACGACGAGGGCGGGGGGGGGGTGTCCAGGAGGCAGCACACAAGACGAGCTGCTGAGAGCACGGGGAAGGAGCAGGAAGGGGAGGAGGTTGGCGTGCCGCGAGGGGAGAGGGAAGGGGCGAGGAGCTCGCGAAGCACAGAGTCTGGCTATGATGCCGTGTCTTCTCCTTGCCCTTACTACCGCCCTTCCTCCGAGACGCAGCTGGCACATGGGCACACGCGTCAAGCGCGCGACCGCTCCGAGGCCCGGGCCAGCCACCCGGTCTCTCGGCGAGCGCCGCACTTGCAAATCGGGCGGCCGCCAGCTCAGCCCGTGCGCCTGCGGCACCCTGCCAGGTCATCCAGCGCACTGAACAGATCAAGGTGGAGGCTTCTCTCGGCCGAAGAGGGGTCCTCGTCGGGCCCCGGGACCGTCAGAACGGCCGCGGCGACGAGTCGCTCCACGGGGGCCCCGAACGGGCGAGAGAAGCGTATCAGAAAGCCTCTGGGCCATCTATCGCCGCGCAGTGAGCCCGCAATGCAATGCGCGACGGGAGCGGTTGCCTTCGCGACACGGGATCGGGAAAATAGGCAGGACAGCGCCAGGCTCTAAGGGACTTGCTTGAGAGCCTATAGAGCGCCGGCCTGACCAATCTGCCGTGAAACCGCCGCCTCTGGGCCACAATGAGTCGGGCCAATAACTACTCGGACCTCATGGGCATCACCCGAAGGGACTCGGCCGACCCGACCGCTGACCAGACGCTTTTGTGATCCCGGACTGGGAATCCTCGACCACGAAAGACGCTTCAGAAAACCAAGGGAGATCTGACGCCACGAAGAACTCACGGCACTGCGAAGAGCAGCGCCCAGAGCCCCAGACACCCATCTTCCTGCCGCACTGCTGGAGCGCGATCGATCTGTGACAGTCCTGTGGCCCGAAGCCGGGCGAGAACGCCAGACTCCAAAAGCACGCGGCGCCAGGATCTCAAGGCTCGTCTGTTCCCGCACCTGGGGGGCTTCCTTGCAAGCCTCGACCCTCGATCGGCTCCTGCGCGCGCGCCCAGAGATTGGACACCCCGAGCTATGCAGACTATGACTTCAGTCCGGGGCACAACCTGCCGTTTCGGCCCCTGGCGCGCAGATCGGGAGCTGCCCCTGGACGCCCCCAGCCCCGACGATTCGGGAGTGGCCCGAGTTGTCCAGGACCGCTCCGGCCCGAGACGACTCTGGCCTCGGCCCCCGAGGCACGGATCGAGAGCTACCCCTGGCCGCCCCGAGCCCCGATGATTCGGGAAAGGGCGGGCGCCCGAATGATCCCGGAGGGCCCCCGTCCGAGGCAACTCCAGTTTGGGCCCCCTCTGCGCACGGTTCCCTGGGCCCCCGCCGTCATGACTTGTGCATGGCGTCGACCCCCAGCGGTCTGGACCCTTTCCCCAAGACCATTTCCTTCTCCCGAGCCGCTGTTTGACGGCCCCGAGGGCCAGCAAGGGCCCCCGCAGGACGAAGATAGCGAGCAAAAAACTCCCGCCACAATTTCACGACCCCTCCCAGCAGCAACCCCTCCCCGACCCAGACATCCGGCTGCTTCAATTTGTTCGATGCGTGGGTCTTGGAGGTCTGGGCCGCTTCCCTAGTCGGGAGCGGCCAAGAGGGGGGTGTCCAAGAGGGGGGGGTGCAAATCATGACCGGCGCCACGTGCGCGGCCCAGCGGGTGGGCCAGGGACGTAACGAAATAAGAAGAGGCGCCATGAAATCTGGGGAAACATCATGGCCCCCGCCACGATATCCACTCCCCCCCAGTCATCCCCCCCCCTCGCTTCCGCCCCCGACCTAGGGGAGGAGGAGGAGGAGGAGGAGGAGGAGGAGGAGGAGGAGGAGGAGGAGGAGGAGGGGGAGGAGGGGGAGAAGGAGGGGGAGGGGGGAGGAGGAGGGAGGAGGAGGAGGAGGAGGAGGAGGAGGAGGAGGACGCAAACTGCCCAAACCCGCCGCTCCAGCTTTTGCGCAGCGTCGGCTCCCGGGCTCCCCGAGGCGACGGCCCCGAGGCCTTCGCGACGCGCACGGGGTAGGGGGGAGGGGGGAAGGCTTCCAGGAAGAGGAGGAGGAGGAGGAGGTGGGGGTGGAGGAGGAGGAGGAGAGGAGGAGGGGAGGAGGAGGAGGGAGGCGGAGGAGGAGGAGGCAGAGGAGGAGGGGGGGAGGAGGAGGAGGAGGAGGAAGGAGGAGGAGGAGGAGGAGGAAGGAGGAGGAGGAGGAGGAGGAGGCCCTGGGGGGAGGGGTAGTGGGGGGAGGGGCAGTAGGGGGGAGGGGGGGGGGAGGCTTCCAGGCGCGGGCCCTGCATCTGTGGATCAGGCCAGGCTCCTTGGTAGAACCAGGGGTGCTGATTAGAAGCTTTCCCCTCTGCCATCGTCGACGCCATCGTTATCGTCGTCGTCGTCGTCGTCCTCGTCGTCGTCGTCGTCGTCGTCGTCGTCGTCGTCCTCGTCGTCGTCCTCGTCGTCGTCGTCGTTCGTCGTCCTCGTCACCCTCGTCCTAGTCGTCATCGTTGTCGTCGTCCTCGTCCTCGTCCTCGTCCTCGTCGTCGTCGTCGACGTCGACGTCGTCGTCCTCCACCTCGTCCTCCTCGTCCTCGTCGTCGTCGTCGCCCTCGTCCTCGTCCTCGTCCTCCTCATCGTCGTTCTCGTCCTCGTCCACATAGCCGTCGTCGTCGTCGTCCTCCCCATCCTCCTCGTCCTCGTCGTCGCCCTCGTCATCCTCGTCGTCGTCCTCGTCCTCCTCGTCCTCCTCCTCGTCGTCGTCGTCGACCACGTCCTCGTCCTCCTCGTCGTCGTCGTCCTCGTCCTCGCCCTTGTCGTAGTCGTCGTCTTCCTCCTCGTCGTCGTCGACCGTCGTCGTCCTCGTCGTCGTCGTTGTCCTCGTCCTCATCGTCGTCGACATCGTCATCGTCCTCCTAGTCCTCAACGTCGTCGTCGTTGTCGTCTTCGTCCTCGTCGTCGTCGTCCTCGTCCTCCTCGTCCTCGTCCTCGTCGTGGCCGACGTCCTCCTCGTCCTCGTACTCCTCGTACTCGGCCGCCTCGTCGTCAACGTCGTCGTCCTCGTCCTCGTCCTCGTCGTCGTCATCGTTATCCTCGTCCTCCTCTTCCTCGTCGTCGTCCTCGTCCTCGTCGTCGTCGTCGTCGTCGTTGTCCTCGTCGTCGTCGTCGTCCTCGTCCTCCTCGTCCGCGTCGTCGTGGTCGTCGTCCTCGTCGTCGCGTCATCCTCGTACTCGTCATCGTCGTCGTCGTCGTCCTCGTCCTCGTCCTCTTCGTCGTCATCGTTATCCTCGTCCTCCTCGTCCTCGTCGTCGTCCTCGTCCTCGTCCTCGTCCTCGTCGTACTCGTCCTCGTACTCGCGTCATCCTCGTACTCGTCATCGTCGTCGTCGTCGTCTTCGTCCTCCTCATCCTCGTCGCCGTCGTCGCTCCCGTCCTCGTCTTCGTCCTCGTCCTCCTCGTCCTCGCTCTCGTCGTCGTCGTCGTCGTCATCCTCGTACTCGTCGTCCTCGTCCTCGTCGTCGTCGTCGTCCTCGTCTTGCTCGTCCACGTCATCATGGTCGTCCTCGTCCTTGTCGTCGTCGTCCTCGTCCTCCTCGTCCTGGGTCGCCGTCATCGTCGTCCTGGTCGGCGTTCTCGTCGTCAGCCTCGCCCTCGTCCTCCTCGTCCGCGTCGTCGTGGTCGTCCTCGTCCTCGTCCTGGTCCTTCGTCGTCGTCGTCCTCATCCTCGTGCTCGTCGTCGTCGTCGTCCTCCTCATCCTCGTCCTTGTCGTCGTCGTCTTCGTCGTCGTCCTCGGCGTCGTCGTCATCCTCGTCCTCCTCGTCCTCGCTCTCGTCGTCGTCGTCACCGCCATCAACATCCTTGTCCTCGCCGTCGTCGTCGTCGTCCTCGTCGTCGTCGTCGTCCTCGTCCTCGCCCTCCTCGTCAACGTCGTCATGGTCGTCCTCGTCGTCGTCCTCGTCCTCCTCGTCCACGTCGTCGTCGTCGTCGTCATCGTGCGCGTTCTCGCCGTCGTCGTCGTCCTCGTCCGCCTCGTCCGCGTCGTCGTGGTCGTTATCGTCCTCGTCCTGGTCCTCGTCGTCGTTGTCCTCATCCTCGTGCTCGTCGTCGTCGTCGTCGTCGTCCTCCTCGTCCTCGTTCTCGTCGTCGTCGTCGAATTCGTCGTCGTCCTCACCGTCGACGTCGTCGTCGTCCTCGTCCTCCTCGTCGTCGTCATCGTCATCGTCGTCGCCCCTTCGTCCACACCCTCGTCGTCGTCGTCAAACTCGTCCTCGTCCTCGTCCTCGACCGTCGTCCTCGTCTTCCTCGTCGTCGTCGCGATCGTCGTCGTCGTGCTCGTCCTTTTTGACGTCGTCGTCGTCGTCCTCCTCCTCCTTGTCCTTGTCGTCGTCGTCCTCCTCTTCTTCGACGTCGAAGTCGACCTCGTCCTCGTCCTCGTCGTCGTCGTTCTCGTCCCCGTCCTCCTGGTCCTCGTCGTCGTCCTGGTCCTCGTCCACATCCTCGTCGTCGTCATTGTCGTCGTCTTCGTCCTCGTCTTCGTCCTCGTCGTCAGCACGGCCGTCGTGGTCGTCGTCGTCGTCGTCGTCCTCGTCCTCCTATTCGTCGTTGTCGCCGTCGTCGTCTTCGTCCTCGGCGCTGGCGTCCTCGTCGGCTTCGTTGGTGTCCTCGTCCTGGTCGTTGCCGTCGTCCTCGTCCTCGTCCTCGTCGTCGTCGCCGGCGTCGTCCTCAACCTCCTCGTCCTCGTCGTTGTCGTCGTCAGCGGCGTTCTCGTCCTGATCGTCCTCGTCGTCGTCGTCCTCGTACTCGTCGTCGTTGCCCTCGTCCTCGTCCTCGGCGTCGTCGTGGTCGTCGTCGTCGTCGGCCTCGTCGTCCTGGACCACATACTCGCCGACATCGTCGTCGTCGTCCTCGTCCTCCGCGTCATCGTCCTCGTCGTCGTCGTCGTCCCCGTCCTAGTGCTCGTCGTCGTCGTCGTCGGCGTCCTCCCCATCCTCGTCCTGGTCGTCGTGGTCGTCTCCGTCCTCCTCGTTCTCGTCGTCGTCGTCGCGTCCTCCTCGTCCTCGTCGTCGTTCTGGTCGGCGTCCAGGTCGTCGTCATGGTCGTCGTCGATATAGTCGTCCTCGTCCTCGTCGTCCTCGTCGTCGTCAGCGCTCTCGTCGTCGTCGTTGTCGTCGTCCTCCTCGTCCTCGTCCTCCTCGTCGTCGTCATGCTCGTCGTCGTCGTCGGCCTCCTCGTCATCCTCGTCCTCCTCGTCATCGTCGTCCTCGTCATCATCGTTGTCATCGTCTTCGTCCTCGTCCTCGTGCTCGTCGTCGTCGTCGTCGGCGTCATCCTCATGGTCCTCCTCGTCCGCGTCGTCGTCGTCCTTGTCCTCGTCGTCGTCGTCGCTGTCGTCGTCCTCCTCGTCCTCCTCGTCGTCGTCCTCGTCATCATCGTCGTCGTCCTCGTCGTCGTCCTCGTTGTCGTCGTCGTCGGCGTCGGCGTCGTCGTCCATCGTCCTCCTCGTCGTTGTCGACGTGGTCGTCGTCCTCGTGCTCGTCCACGTCCTCGTCGTGGGCGTGCTCTCCGTCATCGTCCGCCTCATCGTCGTCGTCGTCCTTCCCCTCGTCCTCGTCGTCGTCCTCGTCCTGCTCGTCCTCGTCATCGTCGTCGTCCCTTCGTCCACATCCTCGTCGTCGTCGTCGTCATCGGCGTCCTCGTCTTCCTCCTCGTCTTCCTCGTCGCCGTCGTCGTTGTCATCCTCGTCCTCGTCGTCGTCGTCGCCCTCCTCCTCGTCGTCGTCGCCGAGGTCGCCCTCGTCCTCGTCGTCCTCGTCGTCGTCGTCGGCGTCGTCGTCGTCGTCCTCGTCCTCCTCGTCCTCGTCGTCGTCTTCGTCCTCCTCCTCGTCCACCTCGTCCTCGTCGTCGTCGTTCTCGTCGTCGTCCTCCTCGTCCTCGTCCTCGTCGGCGTCGTCGCAGTCGTCCTCCGCCTCCTCGTCCTCCTCCTCGTCGCCGTCGCCGTCGTCCTCGTCCTCATCGTCGTCGTCGCCGTCGTCGTCCTCATGGTCCTCCTTGGCGTCGTCGGCGTCGTTGTCGTCATCCTCGCCCTAGTTCCCGTCGTCGCGGTATTCATTCTCGTCGTCATTGTCATCCTCATCGTCGTCGTTGTTAGCGTCCTCGACCTCCTTGTCCTCGTCGTCCTCGTCGTCGTCCTCGTCGTCGTCCTCGTCGTCGTCCTCGTCCTCGTCTTTGTCGTCGACCTCGTCTCGTCGTCCTCGTCGTTGTTCTCGTCGTCGTCGGCGTCCTTGCCCTCCGCGTCATCGTTGTCGTCGTCGTCGGCGTCCTCGTCCTCGCCCTCGTCGAGGTTGTCGGCGTCCTCGTCCTCCTCGTCAGCGTCGTCGTCCTCGTCCTCGTCTTCGTCGTCCTCGGCGTCGACGTCGTCCTCGTCCTCGTCCTCGTCGTTGTCGTCGGCCTCGTCGTCCTCCTCGTCCTCGTCGTCCTCGTGGTCGTCGTCGCCCTCGTCATGGCTCTCGTCTTCACCATCGTGCTCGTCCTCTTCGTCGAGGTCGGCGTCGTCGTCCTCGTCCTCGTCATTGTCGACAACGTCGGCGTCAACGTCCACGTCCACCTCGGCCTCGTCCTCGTCGTCGTCGTCCTCGTCGTCCCCGTCCTCGTCCCCGTCCTCGTCGTCCTCGTCGTCCTCGTCCTCGGCCTCCTCGCCGTTGACATCGTCGTCGTTCTCGTCCTCCTCGTCCTCGTCGTCAGCATCGTCATAGTCACCGTCCTCGTCGTCGTCTTCGTCGTCGTCGTCGTCCTCCTCATCCTCCTCGTCCTCCCCGTCGTCGTCGTCGAGGCCGTCGTCGTCGTCGTCCTCGTCCTCGTCCTCGTCGTCGTCGTGGTCAGCACCCTTGTCCCCCTCGTCATCGTCATCGTCATTGTCGTCGTCGTCGGCGTCCTCGTCCTCGTCCTCGACGTCGTAGTCGTCGTCCCCGTCCTCGTCCTCGTCCTGCTTGGCGTCGTCCTGCTTGGCGTCGTCGTCCTCGTCCTCCTCGTCCTCGTCGTCGTCGTTCTCGTCCTCCTCGTCCTCGTCGTCGTCGTCGTCCTCATCCTCGTCCTCGTCGTCGTCGTCGTCGTCCTTGTCCTCCTCGACCTCGTCGTCGCCCTCCTCGTCCTCGTCCTCGTCCTCGTCGTCGTCGTCGTCATCATAGGCATCCTCGTCCCCTTCGACATCGTCCGCGTCCACATCGTCGTCGCCGTCGCCGTCGTCCTCGTCCTCCTCGTCCTCGTCGTCCTCGTCGTCGTCGTCATCGTCCTCGTCCGTGTCGTCGTCTTCGTCGTCGTCGGCGTCGGCGTTCTCCTCGTCCTCGTCCTCGTCGTCGTCGTCGCCCTCGCCCTCGCCGTCGTCGTCGTCGGTCTCGTCTTCGTCGTGGTCCGCGTCCTCCTCGTCCTGGTCGTCGTCCTCGTCCTCGTCCTCGTCCTCGTCCTTGCCGTCGTCGTCCTCGTCGTCGTCGTGGTCCTCGTCCTCGTCCTCGTCTTCGTCGACGCTTTTTCTCGTCGTCGGCGATCTCGTCCTCCTCGTCCTCGTCATTGCCGTCGTTGTCCTCGTCCTCGTCGTTGTCGTCATCGTCGTCGTCGTCGTGCTCGTTCTCCTGGTCCTCGTCGTCGTCGTAGACCTCGTCCACGTCCTCGTCGTCGTCCCCGTTCGCGTCGTCGCCGTCCTCGCCCTCGCCGTCGTCGTCGTAGTGGGCGTCCTCGTCCTTTTTGTCCTCGTCGTCGTCCTCGTCGCCGTCAACGGCGTCGTCGTCGTCCTCATCCTCTTCGTCCTCGTCGTCGTCTTCCTCGTCGCCGTCGTCGTCGGCGTCCTCATCCTCCTCGCCCTCGTCGTCGTCGTCCTCGTCCTCGTCTTCGTCGACGTCTTCCTCGTCGTCGTCGTCCTCGTCTTCGTCCTCGTCGACGCCGTCGTCGTCGGCCTCCTCGTCGTCGTCGTCGTCGTCCTCCTCGTCTTCGTCCTCGTCCTTGTCGTCGTCGTCCTCGTCGTCGTCGTCGTCCTCGTCCTCCTCGTCGTCGTCCTCGTCCTCCTCGTCCTGGCTGTCGTCGTCGTCCTCGTCCTCGTCCTCGTCGTCGTCGTCGACGGCGTCCTCGTCCTCCTGGTCCTTACTCGTCGTCGTCGTCCCCGTCCTCCTCGTCCTCCTCGTCCTCCTCGTCCTCCTCGTCGTCGTCGACGACAGCCCCGCTGCTTCGCGGCACCGCGAGCCTCCCTGGCGGCTTTGCGCGCCGTCCGGCGGGGCCGCCCACGGCCGGGCCCGCATCGCCTGCAGCTTCGTCCGGCGGGGGCGATGCCTCGCCGGCGCCGCGCCGCCGCCGCCGCCGCCGCCGACCACGCTCAGGGGCTCGAGGGCTGCTCGAGCTATGGAAAAATCACGACGGGAGGTTTTTCACGATTTTGGCCTATGGGGAACCCTGCCGGGCTTCGGGACCGTCAAGGAACAACTCGGGACGAAAAACCTGTCCAGGGGAATGGGTCCAGACCGCTGGCGGTCGACGTCTTGCAAAAAATCACGACGGGAGGTTCTTCATGACTTTCGGCCTCTGGGGACCCTTACGGGGCCTCGGGACCAGGAATGGGAGGAGGAGGAGGAGGAGGAGGAGGAGGAGGGGAAGGAGGAGGAGGAGGAGGAGGAGGAGGAGGAGGAGGAGGAGGAGGAGGAGGGGGAGGAGGGGGAGGAGGACTCAGGATAAAAAGCTGGTCCCAGGGAATGGGTCCAGACCGCTGGGAGGCCCTCGGTGCCGCGAATCCTCGGGGTTGCGTCGCCGCCTCAGAGATCCGACGCTCCGACAAAAACTGGAGCGGCTGGTTTGGGGGCTGCTCTCGGCCTCCAGGGGCCCTCGCCAGGCCTCGGGGCCGTCCAACACCGACCCGTAGTAACGAAAAACCCGCCCTGGGGAGGTGGTCCAGACCTCCAGGGCCCACGCATGGAGAAAGTTGGAGCAGCCGGATGTCGTGGGGGGCTCGAGGGCGACGACGACGACGAACGACGACGACGACGACGACGACGACGACGACGACGACGAACGACGACGACGACGACGACGACAACGGCAACGGCAACGACAACGACGACGACGGCAACGGCAAAGGCGACGACAAGGACGAACGACGACGACGAACGACGACGACGACGACGGCGCCGACGACGCCGACGATGGCGGCGGCGGCGGCGATGGCGACGACGACCACTGCCCGAGCCATCTGGCGCCTCCAAGCAAACATTCAGGCGGCTGGTCTTTCTCCATTTGTGTTGGCCTCGCCGCCCTCACAAAGGGGAGGCTGCTCGGCACCTCTGCCCGCGTGCCCGCCGACACGCAGCGAGAGAGAGAGAGAGGCCCCGCGGCCCCCCCCAAGGCAGGGCCGAGGGCGACGCGGCAGACGGGGCGACGCG